TTTCAGTGGCCACAAATAAAATTTATCGGACCATAACCACACTCATTTAAGTATTGTCCATGACTGTTTTGGTGCTACAGTGGCAGAGTTGAGTGGTTATAACAGAGACCAGATGGCTTGCGAACCCTAAAATATTTATCTGACACTTGGCAGAAAAGATTTGCTGACCCCTGCTCTAGGCTTACTTCACAGCTGTCTTCCCAGGACTGTGGTCACCATTATGCTAGAAATTCTCGTTGTTGATCTTAATTCTCCTCACACTTGAATAAAAGTTTGGCCAGGTATAGAATTCTGGGATGGAAAACATTTTCCTTCAGAATTCCAGTTTGGCTGTTGAAGTCTGATTTCACTCTCTTCTCAATCCTCTGTATCTAGACTGTTTTTTTCCTCTGGAAGCTTTCAGAATCTCTTTATTTCTGGTGTTCTAAATGATGACATACCTCAGTGTGAATCTTCTCTTATTCATTATACTGAGTGGACCATTTCAATCTGGAAATTCAAGTCCTTCAGTTCTGGGGAATATTTTTTGTATTGTTTATTTGATAAAATTCTCTTCACTTTCTGTTCTCTCATAAAACTTTTATTTTCCAAATGTCGACATTTTTTTAATTGCTGCTATTTGTTAAGTTTTAAAAGCTTTTTCTCATCCTTGTTTCATGAATGCAATATCAAATTTTCTGAAGATATTTCCTTTTTTTAAGTTTTCTTTTGCTTCTGACATTCTTTCCATTTCCTTTGAAATGTTAATACATTTTTTTCTGTTTATTTGTGATCTGTCTTTCATGTTAGAGACTTTCCTGAAATGACTGATGAGCCTTTGCTGTTATATGTCAGAGGAAGGCACAAAAAGATGATTGGAAGCTTGAAGGAGGGGAGGAAGATATTGGCAAACTGTGGGCACGGCAGTGGGTAATTGATCAAGGATTTGGCCGCTTTGGAGGGAATCCCAAATGTCAGTATTTGTAGATCTTCTTTCTTTGTCTAGCCAATTTCCCTAGACAGGAATCTTCTAGTCTCTTGCATGGGGTAATGAGGGGTATGGAGCTTTGAGACAGGGAATTAAACCTGGTGGGCTGTATTCTGGGAGCTGAGCTGAGGAAAGGAATTGAAAGTCTCACTTTTCAGTCCAGGACCATCCCTTAACATGACCCTGCTATGCCTGGTGGCCCAGAATTCAGTACCTCTGTGGTTCTTCTCCAGAAAATAAAACTGTCTATCTTTACTGGAGAAGACATGAACCAAGCTGCCTAGCTGCAGGCACTGGAGGACAGACTCCAGAGTCCTACCCAACCCTTATAAAGGTTTTTAATCAGTCCATTTTAGCCCTACCCCAAACCTTAAAAAGTACTAGGTGCCTTCAAGTCCTGAATCTTCTCAGAGTTTTGGGAATTGTCTTGCTTCCTGTTGGCTGCCCTACCACAGGCAGTGAAGCCTCAGGTTTCCTTTGCTCTGAGTCAGTTACCACTCGTCTGTCTGCTTTCCATTTTCCATAATTTAGTTGCCATCTATCATCTATTATAGTCTCTGCTCCTATTATTTGTCCTATGAGTTTATGCCTTTTTTATTCCTTTATTGCCTTTTTCATGATGTTTTAGAAGGAAGTGGAACAGTATTTGCTAATAAATGTTTAACATATGCATAATTTTAATATAAATTTACTGATATGTGGTGATAATGATATAATTATAAACAATAAAATATATAGTACTCTTTCTTATAAATTTAATATAATCAATTGATTCTCACAGAATGCTATTGTTGATTTTTGCAAACTTTCTGTATCTGTAGCCAACCTATGTTGGCAATTTATGAACACATATAGTCCTGATATAAATGTTGGTTGATATTTTCTGTTACTCAGTGGAGTAAGACAAAAGCAAAACACAAAGATTTATGTCAGAAATTCACTTTAGTTGTGTAAGCAACTCCTTTGATGAATCAGATAATAGTTTTCAAATGCTAGAATAATATTCCTCAACTTTTTTTGCTATTTCACAAAGGAACAACTACAGATAAGACACAACTTTTAAGTTTAATATGCATTATTAACATTTTATTTCTCACTTGCTTAACAATTAGTAAAATAATAAATCAAGCCCTAATTTGTAGTGTTTTATAATATTTGTGGTATAAATACTCCCATCATGGCCAATTTCAATATTCCTAATGTGAAGTCACTGAATGTGGAGTTGGGAAGAAATGAGCAGTAACACAGCATTCTGTAGCATTCTAGAGCATTTCCATTATATACAATAATGTAAACAATCTCAAGAACATAGATAATTGTGAAATCATTAGGAAGTGATGAGTTTTACATGCTGATTACCTTAATAAATATAAATTATCTAATTGTAAGTTTATATAATTTAATTTTTACGATGAATGTGTTAACAACTGCCTTGCAGACTTCCTGAAAATGTAGCAGTCGCTAACCCCAGTACGCCACTGGAGCGGAGATAAAGATATAGAGTCAATCCACCAAGTTTAACCAGCTCCTTTCTAAAGTCTGTTTTTATAACTTAGAGGTCGGCGACTATAAGAGAAAAGAGAGGCAGGAGGCCAGTTCTCTATGTCAGTTTGATCTCTAACAAAACACATCAAGGGGAGAGAGGGAACAAAAGCCGGGAGGGCTGCAAAGGGGCAGATGGAAGACAAGGAAGGGGAGGTTACTGATGCAGGGCAAGGCAAATCCCCCGAGTGGGGTCCTGCACCGAGAGAGAGCCAGCGAGGGTATTTGACAGCGTGCAGGAAAGAATTCAAGCGCACGCCAGACTTAGACAAAAGAAAAGGTGATTAGAGAAGGAACAACGCTCCATAGGCAGAGAAACAGAGAGACAAGGGGAAACAGGCTAAGAGGGACTGAGAGAGAAAGAGAGACAGAGACCCAGAGTGGTCAGGGAATTCAGTTTATATGTCGTTCTTAGTTTATTTACCAGTTTTCCCTTGATGGTATATAGCGTGAAAGGTATGCTAGCAATCTTGGCCTTTGTTCTATAGGTTCGCCAGGGTTTTGGCCATAGGGAATGACTGGTTGCGTTTATTTTGTGTAGATTACGACATAAAGACTTGTTTTCCCTTGGTGGTATGGGTAAATGTTTTGTTAGTAATCCTTGCAGGAGTCTTCCTTTGTTCTATAGGTTCCAGTGGTCTGACAGCACATTGCAGGCTCTGAATACAACTTGGTTTAACATCCAGTTCTCCCACCTCCCTACATCATTACCATAGAAATCTTGGATTCTAGGGATCCCAACCAGTGAACTCTGGGCCTTGGATAGAGATTTCCAGTGACATTTCTCCATAGAAAATTATGGGCATGGACTTGATGAGCTTTAGTTAACCTTCTTTTCTGGCAATTACAAGATTGCTGCTTCCTCCGATGCTTTCCTAAATTTCTTCATTCAGAGTATTGTTATTTTATTTTATTTTATTATTTTAGTTTAGTTTAGTTTAGTTTAGTTTAGTTTAGTTTCTTTTCTTTTCTTTTCTTTTCTTTTATTTTATTTTATTTTATTTTATGAAAATCTATACGTCATTTGAACATTCCGTGTATTTAATAATCCCTGTTT